GAGAGGCATTCCACTTTTAAATCGGGTAAAAATTTCAAAAGTTATGGGCTAAGCAGTGCTGGGATCTGGTCACTTTTCTGCAAACCCATTTTTTGCAAATTTTGACAGGTCGGGGGTCATAAAAAATTACAAAATATGGACCAAAAATTCGAAAATAAACCAATGATGCAGCTAGATAGATATTTTAATAACAAATTCAGAGAGGTATTCCACTTTTAAATCGGGTAAAAATTTCAAAAGTGATGGGCTAAGCAGTGCTGGGATCTGGTCACTTTTCTGGAAACCCATTTTTTGCAAATTTTGACAGGTCGGGGGTCATAAAAATTACAAAATATTGACCAACAATTCGAAAATAAACCAATGATGCAGCTAGATAAATATTTTAATAACAAATTCAGAGAGGTATTCCACTTTTAAATCGGGTAAACATTTCAAAAGTTATGGGCTAAGCAGTGCTGGGATCTGGTCACTTTTCTGCAAACCCATTTTTTGCAAATTTTGACAGGTCGGGGGTCACACAAAAATTACAATATATTGACCAAAAATTCGAAAATAAACCAATAATGCAGCTAGATAGATATTTTAATAACAAATTCAGAGAGGTATTCCACTTTTAAATCGGGTAAAAATTTCAAAAGTTATGGGCTAAGCAGTGCTGGGTTCTGGTCACTTTTCTGCAAACCCATTTTTTGCAAATTTTGACAGGTCGGGGGTCATAAAAAATTACAAAATATTGACCAAAAATTCGAAAATAAACCAATAATGCAGCTAGATAGATATTCGAATAACAAATTCAGAGAGGTATTCCACTTTTAAATCGGGTAAAAATTTCAAAAGTTATGGGCTAAGCAGTGCTGGGATCTGGTCACTTTTCTGCAAACCCATTTTTTGCAAATTTTGACAGGTCGGGGGTCATAAAAAACTACAAAATATTGACCAAAAATTCGAAAATAAACCAATAATGCAGCTAGATAGATATTTTAACAACAAATTCAGAGAGGTATTCCACTTTTAAATCGGGTAAAAATTTCTAAAGTGTTGGGCTAAGCAGTGCTGGGATCTGGTCACTTTTCTGGAAACCCATTTTTTGCAAATTTTGACAGGTCGGGGGTCATAAAAAATTACAAAATATTGACCAAAAATTCGAAAATAAACCAATGATGCAGCTAGATAGATATTTTAATAACAAATTCAGAGAGGCATTCCACTTTTAAATCGGGTAAAAATTTCAAAAGTTTGGGCTTAGCAGTGCTGGGATCTGGTCACTTTTCTGCAAACCCATTTTTTGCAAATTTTGACAGGTCGGGGGTCATAAAAAATTACAAAATATGGACCAAAAATTCGAAAATAAACCAATGATGCAGCTAGATAGATATTTTAATAACAAATTCAGAGAGGTATTCCACTTTTAAATCGGGTAAAAATTTCAAAAGTGATGGGCTAAGCAGTGCTGGGATCTGGTCACTTTTCTGCAAACCCATTTTTTGCAAATTTTGACAGGTCGGGGGTCATAAAAAATTACAAAATATTGACCAAAAATTCGAAAATAAACCAATAATGCAGCTAGATAGATATTTTAATAACAAATTCAGAGAGGTATTCCACTTTTAAATCGGGTAAAAATTTCAAAAGTTATGGGCTAAGCAGTGCTGGGATCTGGTCACTTTTCTGCAAACCCATTTTTTGCAAATTTTGACAGGTCGGGGGTCATAAAAAATTACAAAATATTGACCAAAAATTCGAAAATAAACCAATAATGCAGCTAGATAGATATTTTAATAACAAATTCAGAGAGGTATTCCACTTTTAAATCGGGTAAAAATTTCAAAAGTTATGGGCTAAGCAGTGCTGGGATCTGGTCACTTTTCTGCAAACCCATTTTTTGCAAATTTTGACAGGTCGGGGGTCATAAAAAATTACAAAATATTGACCAAAAATTCGAAAATAAACCAATAATGCAGCTAGATAGATATTTTAACAACAAATTCAGAGAGGTATTCCACTTTTAAATCGGGTAAAAATTTCTAAAGTGTTGGGCTAAGCAGTGCTGGGATCTGGTCACTTTTCTGCAAACCCATTTTTTGCAAATTTTGACAGGTCGGGGGTCATAAAAAATTACAAAATATTGACCAAAAATTCGAAAATAAACCAATAATGCAGCTAGATAGATATTTTAATAACAAATTCAGAGAGGTATTCCACTTTTAAATCGGGTAAAAATTTCAAAAGTTTGGGCTAAGCAGTGCTGGGATCTGGTCACTTTTCTGCAAACCCATTTTTTGCAAATTTTGACAGGTCGGGGGTCATAAAAAACTACAAAATATTGACCAAAAATTCAAAAAATAAACCAATAATGCAGCTAGATAGATATTTTAATAACAAATTCAGAGAGGTATTCCACTTTTAAATCGGGTAAAAATTTCAAAAGTTTGGGCTAAGCAGTGCTGGGATCTGGTCACTTTTCTGCAAACCCATTTTTTGCAAATTTTGACAGGTCGGGGGTCATAAAAAATTACAAAATATTGACCAAAAATTCGAAAATAAACCAATAATGCAGCTAGATAGATATTTTAATAACAAATTCAGAGAGGTATTCCACTTTTAAATCGGGTAAAAATTTCAAAAGTTATGGGCTAAGCAGTGCTGGGATCTGGTCACTTTTCTGCAAACCCATTTTTTGCAAATTTTGACAGGTCGGGGGTCATAAAAAATTACAAAATATTGACCAAAAATTCGAAAATAAACCAATAATGCAGCTAGATAGATATTTTAATAACAAATTCAGAGAGGTATTCCACTTTTAAATCGGGTAAAAATTTCAAAAGTTTGGGCTAAGCAGTGCTGGGATCTGGTCACTTTTCTGCAAACCCATTTTTTGCAAATTTTGACAGGTCGGGGGTCATAAAAAACTACAAAATATTGACCAAAAATTCGAAAATAAACCAATAATGCAGCTAGATAGATATTTTAATAACAAATTCAGAGAGGTATTCCACTTTTAAATCGGGTAAAAATTTCAAAAGTTTGGGCTAAGCAGTGCTGGGATCTGGTCACTTTTCTGCAAACCCATTTTTTGCAAATTTTGACAGGTCGGGGGTCATAAAAAATTACAAAATATTGACCAAAAATTCGAAAATAAACCAATAATGCAGCTAGATAGATATTTTAATAACAAATTCAGAGAGGTATTCCACTTTTAAATCGGGTAAAAATTTCAAAAGTTATGGGCTAAGCAGTGCTGGGATCTAGTCACTTTTCTGCAAACCCATTTTTTGCAAATTTTGACAGGTCGGGGGTCATAAAAAATGACGAAACATTGACCAAAAATTCGAAAATAAACCAATAATGCAGCTAGATAGATATTTTAACAACAAATTCAGAGAGGTATTCCACTTTTAAATCGGGTAAAAATTTCAAAAGTGTTGGGCTAAGCAGTGCTGGGATCTGGTCACTTTTCTGCAAACCCATTTTTTGCAAATTTTGACAGGTCGGGGGTCATAAAAAATTACAAAATATTGACCAAAAATTCGAAAATAAACCAATAATGCAGCTAGATAGATATTTTAATAGCAAATTCAGAGAGGTATTCCACTTTTAAATCGGGTAAAAATTTCAAAAGTTTGGGCTAAGCAGTGCTGGGATCTGGTCACTTTTCTGCAAACCCATTTTTTGCAAATTTTGACAGGTCGGGGGTCATAAAAAACTACAAAATATTGACCAAAAATTCTAAAAAAAAACAAATAATGCAGCTAGATAGATATTTTAATAACAAATTCAGAGAGGTATTCCACTTTTAAATCGGGTAAAAATTTCAAAAGTTTGGGCTAAGCAGTGCTGGGATCTGGTCACTTTTCTGCAAACCCATTTTTTGCAAATTTTGACAGGTCGGGGGTCATAAAAAATGACGAAACATTGACCAAAAATTCGAAAATAAACCAATGATGCAGCTAGATAGATATTTTAATAACAAATTCAGAGAGGTATTCCACTTTTAAATCGGGTAAAAATTTCAAAAGTTATGGGCTAAGCAGTGCTGGGATCTGGTCACTTTTCTGCAAACCCATTTTTTTGCAAATTTTGACAGGTCGGGGGTCATAAAAAATTACAAAATATTGACCAAAAATTCGAAAATAAACCAATAATGCAGCTAGATAGATATTTTAACAACAAATTCAGAGAGGTATTCCACTTTTAAATCGGGTAAAAATTTCAAAAGTTGTGGGCTAAGCAGTGCTGGGATCTGGTCACTTTTCTGCAAACCCATTTTTTGCAAATTTTGACAGGTCGGGGGTCATAAAAAATGACGAAACATTGACCAAAAATTCGAAAATAAACCAATAATGCAGCTAGATAGATATTTTAACAACAAATTCAGAGAGGTATTCCACTTTTAAATCGGGTAAAAATTTCAAAAGTTATGGGCTAAGCAGTGCTGGGTTCTGGTCACTTTTCTGCAAACCCATTTGTTTGGCTAATAAGCTTTTTTACTAGCCAACAAACCAAATTGAGACCTAATAAACACGCACAAATTTAGGTTTATTTTATATTTAAATATAATGTTTATTAAGTCGCACAGCACTTAGTTTGAGTTTTTACGAAATAGATCAGGCAGGCACGAGTTGCCTCTGATTTCAAAACGATAAAAGGTTCGAAGTAGATCAAGCAGACTCGAAGTAGTCTTTGATCAGAAATGCAAGTGAGCAAGAACTTGAGACGAATTGCCACGACGAACGACAGTTGACGACTCATAATTGATTTTAGGCTGCACTCGGCTGAAGGGCAAGCGCGGCGAATACATACATAGATGAAGATAACAGATAAAGAAAACATTGCTTCGCAGAGCAATTTACAAATTTAAGAGAGTTTTGTTTGGTGCTGCATAACCAAACATCCTCCCCCGTTGGAAGACACGGGGTTTCAACTTCATCTTGGATAGGCAGCACACATAATCTTCGGATAGCTCGTTTAATTGTCCCAGTTGCAGTTTTTAGGGCAGCTACACGGACAACTTTGTCTTCTCCGGCGATCAGCTCGTCCACTCTAGCCAGTGGCCACTTAAGTGGAGGAAGGTTCTCGTCCTTCACTAAGACAACATCGTTGATCTTGAGATTTGGATGATTGGTGCGCCACTTAGCACGCTGTTGAAGAAGTGTTAGGTATTCTTCTCGCCAACGGGCCCAGAAAACTTGCTGATGGTAAGATATTCGCTGCCATCGATCCAATCGGTTGCAATTTAACAGTGTGACATCAGGCTCTGGAAACAACACCAGAGGAGCGGTGCCAAGAAAGTGTGCGGGAGTTAACACATCCAAGTCGGCTGGGTTCTCTGAAAGAGGAAGCAGAGGTCTAGAGTTGATTATCGCCCCAATGTGGCAAACTAGCGTGCGCAGCTCGTCAAACGATAATAGCGATGGGCCAACTGAACGATAGAAATGGAATTTGGCCGTTTTTACTGCAGCCTCCCAGAGGCCTCCAAAGTGAGGCGAACGGGGAGGAATGAATCGCCACTCAATGTTATCCTCCAGACAGAATTCCTGCACGGAACGTATGTGGGGGTCGCACAGGAACAAACGTTTCAGCTCGGTCAGCTCGTTCTTGGCGCCAACAAAATTGGTTGCATTATCCGACCATATTCGAGCAGGCTTGCCCCTTGTTAGAATAAAGCGCTTCAACGCTCCAAGAAATGCTTGCGTCGACAAATCCTGAACAAGTTCCAAGTGCACCGCTTTCGTCGAAAAACATATGAAGATGCAGACATACGTTTTTACAGGAACCTTGCCTCGAACCCCAGTCCTGTAATGGAACGGACCACAGAAATCCAACCCTGTGACCATAAACGTCCACGTTGAAGATACCCGGCTCTTTGGCAAATCAGCCATTACATGCTCAAACAGTCGGGGTTTGGCTCTGAAGCAGATAATGCATTTATTGACCACAGTTGTGACAGTTTTGCGTCCTCCAATTGGCCAATACTGCAGACGAATGTGTGCAAGCAGAGATCGAGGTCCCGAATGGAGTTTGCGCCGATGAAAGTGCATGATAAGTGCGTGGGTTACTGGATGACTCCTCGGTAATATAATAGGATGCTGAGACTCAAAGGCCAATCCAGAATTCTTTAAACGACCACCAACACGCATTATGCCAAATTCATCTATGAACGGTGCAAGAGAAAAAATTTGACTTGAGGATTTAATTGAAAGTTTACCTTGCAGTCGTTTGTAGTCAGCTGCAAGGTTGTTCATCTGGATGGTGCGAAGGAGCAACTGCGTTCCAAGCTGAATATGCTCGACTGTAATTCCAGAGTGCCGGATGCGATGTCGAAATTTAAAGACGTATGCAAATACATGGGTCAGCTTTTGCCAGGAATTGCTGAACTTGCATTGCAACGTCATGTCATTGGAAGGCGTGGTATGAGCCACGAGCGAATTTCTCATTTCTGGTAACGGAGTGATGGCAGAATGCGGGGCGGGCCAGTGAATTCTGTCATTGCACAGGAACGATGGACCTCTTGACCATAGCGATGACTCAAGCAGCTCGCTTGGAAGTGATCCCCTCGACAAAATGTCAGCTGGGTTACAAAACGTGGGTACATATCGCCAATCCATTCCGTTGGTCAGCTCCTGTATCGAAGCAATTCGGTTTGCGGTGAAGACTTGGAACCGGGAGGGCTCATCCTTAATCCACGAAAGTACGACGGACGAGTCGGACCAGCAAAAGAACGGGCAAGAGAAAACGTTCATATCACGGACTTCTCGGATGAGTTGAGACAACAGCAGAGCGGCACAAAGTTCCAATTTGGGAATCGTAAGCGTCTTCAGCGGAGCCACACGAGACTTAGCACAAAGTAGCTGAGCCTCTCTACGACCTTGTGATGAAGACACAGCGTAGATACAGCCACCATACGCATTTATGCTGGCATCGCTGAAACCATGGAGCTCTATGATGCCGGCAGGCTGAACAGCTAAGCGAGGAAATTTCATTTGCTGGGTGCAAGCAATATCAGCTGTTAACTTCAGCCAAGACGAATTTAGCGCAGAGGGAAGGCTCTCATCCCAATCCAATTTCTCCTTCCAAAGCTGCTGCAAAAAGATTTTTGCTTTGGTTATGACAGGGCAGATGAGGCCGAGGGGGTCATAGAAGCGGGCTATTGTGGACAGCACGGACCTCTTGCTAGGTTTTAAGATGCGCTGCATGGGAGAGAAAGAAAACATTAGAACGTCTGAAGTAGGATCCCAAGCGAGCCCCAGCGTTTTGGTAATGTCGCTTCCATCGTCGAACTTCAGGAATGTTTCCCTTTCTGGCTCGGGTGTTTCCTTAAGAACAACGGGGTCATTAGAGCACCATTTTCTCAGCTTGAACTGCCCTTTTCCAAGCAATTCCTGGGTTTGACGCATGATCTCTAAAACATCTTGAGCGGAGTTGCCACCAGTAATCAGATCATCAACGTAAAAATCCCGCTTGAGAATTTGGGAGCCAATGGGATACGAATTCTCCTCATCAATAGCAAGCTGATGCATGGCCCGCACAGATAGAAATGATGCACGCTTGGTTCCATAAGTTACTGTATTCAGCCTGTAAACTTGTATCTCCTGGCTTGGTGAATCTCTCCAAAGAAGGCACTGCAGAAAACTATCGGGCTCGGCAACTCGAACGCAACGATACATCTTGCAAATGTCACCAGTCAGGGCCACAGGAAACGTTCGGAATTGAAGCAGGGTCCGAAATAGTTTGGGCTGAATGGTAGGACCAGCCATAAGGACGTCATTCAAGGAAGATCCAGACGACGTTCGGGCAGACCCATCAAAAACTACACGCAATTTCGTTGTGGTGCTGTCCTTTTGAAAACGCAATGATGGGGAAGATAATACTGGCAAAGACCAATCGAATCTTTGCTAACGAGTGACATGTGATTCAAGTCCAAATATTCACGAATGAAAGCCGAATATTGAGACTTGAGCTGCGGGTGACGTTGAAGTTTATGTTCCAAATTCAAAAAACGACGATAAGCGTGAGCATAAGAATCTCCGAGCATATCCAAGCTATGCTTTAACGGAAGGCGAACAGAGTATGCTCCGGTAGCCAGGCGAGCAAAGTTGGTTTTGAAATGTTCCTCACATTCGAGCTCCTCTTTGGAAAATTTGCAGGCGTAATCAGGAACACTCTCTATTTCCCAAAAGCGTCGAAGTATTTCATCCAATGGCGACTCAACTTCTTCGACGGAAGATACAGACGTCTGAGCTGCAAGAGCCGATGATTCACGGTGTTCTGAGCCACCTCCTGCGACGACCCATCCTAGACGGGTTTTTTGCAGCAAAGGAAGACCAGGAGTGAGTTTTATTTGACCCACACAAAGAAGCTCAAAGAAAAGACTTGCTCCAATTAATAAGTCAATTTTTTGAGGTTTGTGGAAATCCGGATCGGCAAGCTGAAGGTTTGCTGGTATATTCCAGTTCTCCGGACTCATAGGCAGGCTAGGCTGGTTTCCCGTAATCGTTGGAGCAACTAAGGCAGAGATGTATAATTTGAAGTTTGGGACTTCAAGCTAAATTGCACCGATACTCCATCGGAGTCGAATTTAGAATCTCCAAGTCCGGAGACAAGAGTAGACGATTTTTCTCTACGAAGCTGAAGTTGATGAGCAAATCGGGAAGTAATGATATGAAGCTGAGCACCACCATCAAGAAGTGCACGACATGGCACCCAGGTGCCAGAACGGCTTTGAATGTTTACAATCGCAGTGGCTAGTAGCACATAATCAGCTTGAGGATTTTGGGCGATCAGAGAGGTAGCATGCGAGGGAGCTGATGAGTTTGCGGAACTATGCGAAGTATCCAAAGTTGGAGATGGCGCAGCCTGAGGACAAGCAACATTATCACGAGGTTGATTTGGAGATCCTGGTGACTCGAAATGTAACAAGCTGTGATGCTTGGATCCACAGACTCGACAAGAACTAGACGCACAATTTTTCATCTGATGGCCCTTTCTTAGACAATTTAGGCATAAGCCAAGTCTTTTCGCTCTCTGAAGACGAAGTTGAGGAGTTAAATTAGTAAACTGATTGCAATTATAGACTGAATGGTTTGCGCTATTGTAACAAACACAACCATTGGCAGTCATATTGGTAGCAAGAAACGAGTTTTTATTACTAGAACTGTTTCTGCCCTTTACGATTTGAGGTTTACTTGCGTAAATTGTTGCAACATGCTCCACATTTTCCAATTTTAAGCAGCGCTTGTCCAAAAAATCCAAAAATTGTTGGCATGTCGGAACTTGATCAATTAATGCCGTTTCCTCCCATTTTGCCTGAGTCGAGGTGTCCAATTTCTGAAGCAAACTGTGGATGATGATGGATCCAGAAATTTGCTCAGCAGTTCCCATCGACTGCAATGAACGCAAATTTGTGTTGATTTTGTCCGAAAACTCCCGTAACCTCGCCGCTGTCGCATTCTCTACCTTCTGCATGCCCAAAATCTCTGCGATATGTGCCTGAAAAATAAGACGTTTGTTGTTAAAGCGTTTGTTGAGCAAATCCAAAGCAACAGCATAGTTATCATTGCAAATATCCAGCGAGCGAACAGAATCCAATGCGGAGCCTTTCAGGCACGACTTCAAATGTTGGAGCTTTTCCACGGGCGAAAGATCAGGATCTTGATCGATGATGGTCGAAAACATGGAGAAAAAGTTGGCATATTCGGTGTAGCCACCACTAAATTCGGGCAATTTAATTTCCGGGAGACGAAGCCTTTTGTTAGGCTGACTAGCAGCGGAATCCATGGCGGGTTCCTGGCGCAACGTTGAGCACGGCAAACTGGCCACCTTACGCTTACCAATCTCCTGGAGCACAATTGATTTTGCGGATAAAATCAATTCCTCAAATTCATCCGGCAGCGGACTATCGATTTCATCGTAGTCAAGCTCTTCGAGAGACCCATGAGCCAGGTTAAACGAAACTTCGGTTTTATTCAGCAACTCCAGTCGCAAACTAAGTTCTTCTTCAGCCATCAGGGAAATTCGATCGAAGGTCAATGAACTTTCAATGCTTTGCGCATGCATGAAAATTGACCGAGATTTCCTTTTTATAAAACTGCGCCTTGTCGATGTTGACAAGAGTAATTTCCGTTGACATTTTTAGCCGAAAATTTATTTATAAAACAAAGTTCAAATAATTGCAGTTCGCGACGAAGAGGTTATGGCACAGTTTTGAAGCTTTGACAGTTTTGAAGGCACTGGCGCCAAATTGCAAGCCTGAATCGACCACGAGAAGTAAATGCTGGCTTCTCTTCTGCTAGCATTAAAACCAAAAACAACCATCAGCTGCAGATCAATGAACTTGCGAAAAACGTTTGACAAGCGAGAGCCAGAGCGAGAGCGAGATTGAGAGAGCGATACCGTACGAACCGATGCGAGAGCGAGATGCGAAATTATGTGTACATAAATACATATAAACGCATGTGCAAAACCAACCCTTTTGCGCAGGTTAATTTTATACATTTATATTTTCCAAAATGATTAACTAAATTTTTCTATCACGTCGGGGTCACCAAAATGTTTGGCTAATAAGCTTTTTTTACTAGCCAACAAACCAAATTGGGACCTAATAAACACGCACAAATTTAGGTTTATTTTATATTTAAATATAATGTTTATTAAGTCGCACAGCACTTAGTTTGAGTTTTTACGAAATAGATCAGGCGGTTCTCTTTAAAAGATAAAAGGTTCGAAGTAGATCAAGCAGACTCGAAGTAGTCTTTGATCAGAAATGCAAGTGAGCAAGAACTTGAGACGAATTGCCACGACGAACGACAGTTGACGACTCATAATTGATTTTAGGCTGCACTCGGCTGAAGGGCAAGCGCGGCGAATACATACATAGATGAAGATAACAGATAAAGAAAACATTGCTTCGCAGAGCAATTTACAAATTTAAGAGAGTTTTGTTTGGTGCTGCATAACCAAACACCATTTTTTGCAAATTTTGACAGGTCGGGGGTCATACATACATAGATGAAGATAACAGATAAAGAAAACATTGCTTCGCAGAGCAATTTACAAATTTAAGAGAGTTTTGTTTGGTGCTGCATAACCAAACACCATTTTTTGCAAATTTTGACAGGTCGGGGGTCATAAAAAACTACAAAATATTGACCAAAAATTCGAAAATAAACCAATAATGCAGCTAGATAGATATTCGAATAACAAATTCAGAGAGGTATTCCACTTTTAAATCGGGTAAAAATTTCAAAAGTTATGGGCTAAGCAGTGCTGGGTTCTGGTCACTTTTCTGCAAACCCATTTTTTGCAAATTTTGACAGGTCGGGGGTCATAAAAAATTACAAAATATTGACCAAAAATTCGAAAATAAGCCAATAATGCAGCTAGATAGATATTTTAATAACAAATTCAGAGAGGCATTCCACTTTTAAATCGGGTAAAAATTTCAAAAGTTATGGGCTAAGCAGTGCTGGGTTCTGGTCACTTTTCTGCAAACCCATTTTTTGCAAATTTTAACAAGTCGGGGGTCATAAAAAACTACAAAATATTGACCAAAAATTCGAAAATAAACCAATAATGCAGCTAGATAGATATTTTAACAACAAATTCAGAGAGGTATTCCACTTTTAAATCGGGTAAAAATTTCAAAAGTTTGGGCTAAGCAGTGCTGGGATCTGGTCACTTTTCTGCAAACCCATGTTTTGCAAATTTTGACAGGTCGGGGGTCATAAAAAATTACAAAATATTGACCAAAAATTCGAAAATAAACCAATAATGCAGCTAGATAGATATTTTAATAACAAATTCAGAGAGGTATTCCACTTTTAAATCGGGTAAAAATTTCAAAAGTTTGGGCTAAGCAGTGCTGGGATCTGGTCACTTTTCTGCAAACCCATTTTTTGCAAATTTTGACAGGTCGGGGGTCATAAAAAACTACAAAATATTGACCAAAAATTCGAAAATAAACCAATAATGCAGCTAGATAGATATTCGAATAACAAATTCAGAGAGGTATTCCACTTTTAAATCGGGTAAAAATTTCAAAAGTTTGGGCTAAGCAGTGCTGGGATCTGGTCACTTTTCTGCAAACCCATTTTTTGCAAATTTTGACAGGTCGGGGGTCATAAAAAATGACGAAACATTGACCAAAAATTCGAAAATAAACCAATGATGTAGCTAGATAGATATTTTAATAACAAATTCAGAGAGGCATTCCACTTTTAAATCGGGTAAAAATTTCAAAAGTTATGGGCTAAGCAGTGCTGGGTTCTGGTCACTTTTCTGCAAACCCATTTTTTGCAAATTTTGACAGGTCGGGGGTCATAAAAAATTACAAAATATTGACCAAAAATTCGAAAATAAACCAATAATGCAGCTAGATAGATATTTTAACAACAAATTCAGAGAGGTATTCCACTTTTAAATCGGGTAAAAATTTCAAAAGTTTGGGCTAAGCAGTGCTGGGATCTGGTCACTTTTCTGCAAACCCATTTTTTGCAAATTTTGACAGGTCGGGGGTCATAAAAAACTACAAAATATTGACCAAAAATTCGAAAATAAACCAATAATGCAGCTAGATAGATATTTTAATAACAAATTCAGAGAGGTATTCCACTTTTAAATCGGGTAAAAATTTCAAAAGTTTGGGCTAAGCAGTGCTGGGATCTGGTCACTTTTCTGCAAACCCATTTTTTGCAAATTTTGACAGGTCGGGGGTCATAAAAAATGACGAAACATTGACCAAAAATTCGAAAATAAACCA